AGTTGGGCTTAACCTTCAAGCATAATAAATACGTCTTCCGAAAATATTCCAATACTCTTTAATATTGACTGATACTTGTAATACAGGCAGTTACAGGAACATTTTTACATATTACCAGGTCAAAACAATGGTCATGACTGAAAATTATTCCTGAATTCCTAGGGCCAGATCAAGGTATGTGGAGGCCCTTTCAAATATAAGAAATTAAATAACTTTATTGTATTAAAACAAACTTTCAAATATAAGAAATAAATATATAAATCGAATATCGCAATATTCATAAATAATGTTAACAAAATATTTGCGGAGGCCCTATTTTGTGGGGGCCCTGAGGCAGCTGCATCATGGTTAATCCGGCACTGTGAATTCCTGTCAATGACAATTTAAAAGTCGAGTTATCGAAGTGTTATTAAAATATAACTGATCTATTGTTATTATTTATTTACTTGTTTTATAACATTTCAAAATAATTTTTATAAATTGATTGACAATTGTTAAAATCTAGAGTCACTATTTGGTGCAAGTTGCTGACAGAATTTTAGGCACAGGTGTAAAGATATTCTTTTGGGAGATAAAAGTTTTCCAGTTTTATTTTAGCAGGACATTATCAATGAAACAAAAATAACTGAGAAAATTACTTCATGGAACATTCACCGCAATAGCACTTTGGAAACAAAGGAATGTTACATATCTGGTTGTTTGTTAATTTCCGGTATAAATTCTTTCCGAGGAACTTCAGCGATATAAGTCCTTTCTTAATTAAAACTAGTTTATTCTTTCTCGGTACAACTTTGTAATACACAGAATTTCCACAGGCACTTTAAACTTAACAATTTTTATAACACACGCTATAAATCACAGTGATTCACACATTTTACTTACGGTGCCTACTGTTCACTTGACTCAATTATCTATCTATCTCTTCGATCTATTTGCCTATGCCGTTGGCTTTCTTTGCCAGGCTCATTTGCTAAAAAAGAGGGCGTCTAGCAAATACTCGGAGATTCGCGGGGTTCCCCGATAATTCTAGAAACTCCAGCAGCGCATGCTTCCAGCGTCACGCGATTTCTGCTGTCGTAACACGTTAAGGACTTAAGGTAGTTTTAGATTCGAAAGGCTTCAAACATAATAATAATCTGCAGTAACAGTACCTTGGTCAACTTAACATTATGTCTGAATATAAAAGATCAGATTGTTCTAAACTTTTAGTATGGAATCGAGTGTTAGGCATGTCTGTCAAAAAAAAAAAACAACAACAACAACAACAAAAAACTGCGTGTTGTAGTGACGTCAAAACCAATCTTCCAAATAGCCTTTTTTAATAGATTGTACATTTAAACTCAGTTGCTCGGGGAAAAGTATTATCCTTTTAAATAAATAATTAAAATTATAAAATTATATTTTATATACTACTGTTTTTAAGATACTGTACAGCAAAAGTTTTAACCAAGTTTATATAGTCTAAAATATGATGTAATGAAAACTTACAAATATATTAAAGGTGAAAGAGATAAAGTTTGTTCTGTGATGCATATGATGAAATTTATATATCATCACTCACTCGGTAACTTCAGATTAAAAACTTCTACATTAATATAAGTAAGGCAAGGCCTAGAGATTTCATCTGTTCCATATTCCTGATGGCCTTGAGTACATACTTTCGCTGTTGTATTACATAAACTTCTAAAAACCGTTTAGAAATTACTATGAAAGTCTGGTTCTGACTTAACTATCACGTGGCTAGGCTGAGTTAAAAGTGAACATTTTAGGTACAAAGTTCATAACTTATATTTCAACTTTGTTATCGTACAAAATGTGGAAGTAATTAATAGTTTATCATAAATATAAACACAAGGGGGGGCCTGACACGCCCACATGATTAAGGGCGTTCAATTCACAATCTGTGGGTTCGAATCCCCATCGCAGCTCATGCTCGTCCTATCAGCCATGGGGGCGTTATAATATAACGGTCAATTCCACTATTCATTGGTAAAAGAGTAGTCAAACAGTTGGTGGTGGGTTGTGTTGACTATAGTGCCTTCCCTTTAGTCTTTCACTGCTAAGTTAGGGACCGGCTATGAGGTGAATTTTCTGGAGAATCACGGATGATGAACCAGGACCTAAAGTGCCCCAACAGTCATACGCGGCTTTGAGACTCAGAAAAATAAATTAAGAAGGGATGGTACATCTAGTGGCGTGCTATCAGGAAGGTAAAAGTATTAAAAAAAATTTAAACGTTTTTGTGACAGTAAAAAAATAAAAAAAAAACATATAAATGAACAGTCATAAAACACGTAACATAACATACACAGTATACTAGATCATACTAAGAAAATCATGTTATGTTGTATATGAATTATATGTTGAATTTACTTCTAAATTTTGGACAAATGTAGTTTGTTTTTATTTGCAAATAATTCTTGGTTTTATGAGTTTGTTTGATCTGAAAGTAGACCCATGGGTTTTAAAGTTTCCTCAGAAAAAAAAAATCGTTTTTGTGCATCTGGAAATGGTATCGTATGACTTCTATGCCAGAAATTGCTATGAAAATTATATCTTTCGGTGAGTTAACTTAGATTAAAAATCAATTTCTCTGTTATTCACTTAAAAACGCTAAAATTACTGGGTCCGTACTCATAAGTTTGAATATTTTAATTCTTATACAAAGCTTTGCTTCAAAATGTGATTTTACATTCGGGGCTCTCACTGTTTTGTAGTCAAGTAACAAGTAAAGAAAGAAGGTCTAAACGTTTCAATTAATTTACAATTTGTTTGTTTGTATCAAGGGCAAAGCTACACAGGTATCGAAACCCGATTTTTAGTGTTATAAGCCTTCAGACTTACAGTTGTGCCAGTGAGGGGTCAATTGATATATATATATTTAACACTAATATACGATCGTAACAATATGTTTCGTATTTATAACATCAAATACAAACCAAAAATAAGCCTAAGTTCAGAATACGTTTCATATAGGGTACGGGAATAGACTGAGTAGCCAGTGGACTTAATTTTAACATTCATATTAACTTGAATAATTCAGCGCCATCTATATCGCTACGATTGATTTGTGATCCGAGATAGAAATAATGTAATGATTGAATTATTCAGGTTACGTAGATATTTGTTAACTTTGGGAATTCTTAAAGATATGCGACTAAATTAAGCTTTTTAATGCGAATTACTTTAAATCCTTAATTTCACTCATAAACGTACTTCAATAACAAATTTCAATCAATCACCAGCTTAATTTATACTGAAAACTTAAATGTGTTGAAATTTGGTAAATACGCCCGTTGTACAATATTTTCCTTACTATCAATTGGTCTTTCTCAAATTGTGAATAATATTTAAGTCTTACTACGCCGAACCTTCCAATTTGAAATTTACTACCTTAACGTAAATATAAATTTGCATCGTGTCGGGAGTTGTTTTTTTTTTTTTTTTACTAATTAATACATTTATTTTCGACCAGTCTAGCTACATATACCTATTTAAGTTTGAAATCACATTTGAAAAAAAAAAGTAAGGGTGCAATTGGAGAAAATGGGGTCTGAATTACAGAGATAAAAAAAAAAAAGACACTTGCTACTTGGAGATCGAATTACAAGACGATAAACGTAGTCACAAGTACAAACTCATCTTCTAGAGAAGTTGATTGATCAAAACGAGGTCATTGAAAATACGTGCTTTTCGTCAAGTGGAGCTTACTGCGATGCCCTTGTGATTTGATATTCTACTTAGATTGCCTTATCCCCACACCCCAATGACGCAAGTCCTCAAGTCAGAAAAACATGTTTTTTTTTAGGTATGCTTCTTCACGTGACAAATGGCTCGTACTTAGATTATAGCTAGAAATTATATCCGATATAGGTACAAAAGAAGTAATCTGTAGAAAGTAAAATTATTATTGAAGATTCAATAGACTTGATCCCCACGTACGAGATTCCATGGTGGGGGGGGGGGGTCGGATCTTTCAACCAGTTTTTGTTAGCCTGATGGAGACTCGAATTAAAAGGTCAAAATACTCTCTAAACAAGTTCGAACAGGCGGATAGTCCCTTGAACTTCCAGGTGCACGATTTATTCATTACTATATTCAAATCTTTGGCTTTTATGGCTATATACTTTTCGTTTCGATTGAAGGTTTAAAGGTAATTCATATGTCTAACACCAGTAGAAATACAATACGTGTCGTTAATTGTGCTAATTAATTTATACCAGATTAGTTGATGCCTATAATACCAATCTCAAAACATTTCCCTCTAATTCCCAGTTATCTCTAGTCAGCGGTTAAAGTGAAAGGGCACCCCACCTATATGTACAATGGGAGTTAAAACATTATAGGATGTTTGAAAGTTTGTGGAAGAACTACAGAGGTGCACAAAAACTTATCTACTCCAGGAGCATGACTGAAATTTCAACTACCTACCCACAATAAGATAAAAGGTGTGGCAAACTTCTTACTGTGTCGAGCAAAGCCCAATCCAGTCGGGACAATTATTTAGGTTTGAGATCTTTCCAGACCACAAAGGAATCTTTGGGGCCAAGGGACAACTTTGGATACTAAGAAACATATCTTCACCCTACTAGAGGTTTATTTATACCCGCCTAAATGAGGATTTTATCAGACAAATCATACAGAATGGTTATTTTCCTCCAGAAATATAGGAAATCGACAAGGTGTGGCATCTCCTACAAGTATGCTAATTTGCTTCACCTGTGGGATCTTTCCATTTCTTATTTTGCCCTGTTAGATACTTGTTTCTAAGGTGCACTTTTAGCATTGTTAATCACCAAAACTCCATTTTTTGGAATGCACTTTGAGTAACATATGGTACAATTGGTATCATTGCATTTGTACTTCATATTTTGATCTTGAAATTTAACCTTTTCTTTTTTAATATATTTTACGTACTTAAGTATGTGTATATTTCTATTCACAAATGAACTTTGTAGTATCAATCAGTTTAAATATTAAACAAACAATGAATATGATGATTATCAAACATAAGAGGATCATTATTTTAATCATTATTCAACATTAAAAGGTACATCCATATAGCACAATTTTAACCTTCCAAAGCAATTACAACAAGCAAAATGACAATTACATGACTGTGCAAGGCTTAATCAGAAAATGGAACATCAATTTGCTTTTTGTTGTACAACTAGAACAGATGAAAAACCTGAGGGAAAAATCAGGAACAAAATGGACAATTAAGTGTCAACTTCGACAAAAAAAAAATCCTAAGAATAATAGTGATAATGAAACAAATGACACCAGGGATTTTATATTAATCTAATAAGACAACCAGGAAGAATCAGTAAAACAGCAACAAGTGGAGAGAATGACTTTTTTTCTTCTCTATTTATCAGGATCCCGTGTTCCCTGGTAAGGGACCATCTTGATCTTCTTATGCCTTGCTGTGTACATATTTAATCAGATCTGCCACTCTGCAGCTGTAACCATACTCATTGTCATACCTGAAAAGATTCCATTAAATAAATTTATATAGAAGAAAAAATATTGATAATTTAATGAACATAAAACTTTTTATATATCCATACATACTCAGCCATTAATTTAAAGTGAAAAATAAGTAGTTCAATTTCACTCTACTGAATTTAAAATTCAAAACAAAACAGTGGGAAGCCTACTAATTGGAATTTGTAACTTGATGAATTTTAAACATTCACTTAGAATGTTTTCAAAGGAATAAATTAATTTATAACATGCAAAATTTAGCTACATAAATTAGTTTGTTTGAATTTTACTCAAAACTACAAGTTATCTTCTCTCCATCCCCAATTCAAAAGTGATGGAGAGACAATAACTAGCCAACATCATCCCCCTCCTGAGTTACTCTTTACAATAAAATACGAGATTGAACATCTAATTATAGCAAGCCCATGGCTGAAAGGGCAAGCATGTTCATTGACAGGCCTCAAACTCATGATCCACAGATTGCGAGTCTAGTGCTCTCATCAGACCAGGCCAGGCCTCCTCCAGAAGCTCTTGTTTAGTAAAAATTGTACTGTACATTCAGTATCACAAATGTATTTAGAGAATATGCTTACCTGTTTGACATGTTAACAGAAACTTAATATTCCTGAATTACCAGAAGAGTCAGGATAACAATATCAAAATATTTTAAAAGATTTTTGGTGAAGTAAATAAACCTACCATGACACCAGTTTCACAAAGTTCTTGTTTAGAGAAATACCAGCACCTGCATCAAAGATGCTGCTGTGAGAATCTCCAATAAAGTCTGATGAAACCACCTAAGATTTCAGAAAAGTATGTAAGACAGTTGTGTACTTATCATTCTTGGTACAATACAAAATCTTTGAAATTATACTTCAAGATTATATGTCAGAATAATTACATGACAAGAAGCATTGTTTACAAGGCTTAGTATCAGACATTGCCCAACCAAAAATTGGGTTCATTTGTCCAAGATGGCTTCTGTCTGGTTGTTTTATTGGTTATGCTATTATGACATCTACCTTAAGAAATGGCTTTGCTACAAAACTCTATGAACCAATTTTCCCTTTTCATAACGTTTTTTTTTCTGCATCATAATCACAAAGCTAATTAACATATAGGAATTGATATCATTTGTGATATCAAAATTTCTGAATTTCAATTAGTTTAAAATAAAAGGAGAACAATTTTATGTCTAACTTAGCTTAAAAGTATGTACAAAATATCACATGTATTATTTGTCTTACAGCGTCTTCTGTGTATCCCAAGATTCCTTTCCAATTATCACTTTCAGAGGCAGCCTTGACAGCATTTTTAATGTCATCATATGAAGCTTCTTTCTGTAATCGACATGTAAGGTCTACAACAGAAACGTCAGCCACAGGAACACGGAAAGCCATACCAGTCAGTTTGCTGAAGAGCATGAATAAAAATGTGTATAGTCTTTCAAACAACTAACAAATTCAATTTTATATTAAAAAAAATATTTCCAAAACTAAAGTATATAATTATTTGAACGGAAGTACTCTCATAATTAAAAGTAAACTCGATAAATCGGATTTATCGAGTTTACTTTTATATTATTATTTGTTAAGACTATAGTTAATGTCAAAGTCAAAATAAGATAACATTAAGCACTTGCAATCTCAAATAGATCAATATAAACCCTTATATGTGGATGTTTTTTATTTTAAATAGAAAAATAACATACTTACATCTATCCTAATTAAATATAACTTCCCAATCTCTCTCTTTCTCACTATACATCTTGTTTACAAGGCTTAAAATCAGAAAATGCCCAACCAAAAATTGGTTATATATAATATAACTTCACTTATTCAAATATGGAAAACTGACAGTATTGTTTATTATAACAGACAAGGTATTTCAATACATACCCATTCAAATCTGGAATGACCTTGCCAACAGCTTTAGCAGCACCTGTTGAAGCAGGAATGATGTTCTGGGCGGCTCCACGACCATCTCGCCATGCCTGAATAAAGTTAAATGAAAAAGCTGGTGACTAGCACATACAAGTTTTTTTCCATAATTGTCAAGATTACAGCCTTAATAATATTTAACTTAATCAAAAGAAAAAAAATGTATTCAACTTTACAAGCTGAAACCTTACTTGAAGCCAGTTTTATGCAACCCTGATAAGTAAAATTATTGTAAGACCTTTATTTGATCAAGTTTAATGATGCACGATGAGCACAACACTAACATGGTGACTCGCTAGAGGTTGAACATCATTTCACACAGAACCATGTACAAATTTCATTGTTCACAAAAGCAATCTGGCAGTTATGCTTATTCCATTTGATGAATTTATTCCAGTTTCAATGCCCATGCAATTAATGTAAAACTGTTTAAATTATGTGATGTGCAGCAAATTTAACTTTATATTAATTTATATAAGAATAATTTATATTTTCTATACTTACAACTGATAAGTAACCTGGAAGTATCTATAAATTCTACACAGTTTGAACTAATGTCTGTAGTTTGTTGAAAGGACTATTTTTTTTCATTTCCTTAATGTTTTACAATAATCTTTATAAAGTACACTTGTTTTTTTACACTTAAATGAAGTTTAGTTTCACAAAATTGGTCAATTAAAATACACACACACACACACACACACAATATTCAAAAAGAATCCACTGTCATAACTTAGAAATCTAAGTACTCAGCAGAAAACCATTAACAATACATAAAGATAGACATACAAAAAATTACCTTAGAACTTGGACCATCAACAGTCTTCTGGGTTGCTGTGACAGCATGTACTGTAGTCTGTTGGAATGGAGTTAAAAAGTTAAACTACATGCATTTAATTACGTGACTTAAATATAAACCAATATCAAAAAAAGGATTTAAATGAGATGCATAAAAACACCTCTAATTCATCACACTGACCACTGTTTACAAACATGTAAACTGACCAATATTCTATGTGGACTCCTTGTAAAATAGAATCAAATTTGTATGAAGACCATACAGCTATATGTAGTACATATATGTAGCAATTTATTTAAAAGAAGTTGAAATAATTTCCTGCAATACTTGGTGTTCCTGAAAGGATTATTAAAGGTACAACTGGAATGATTAATTATGAATTCTTAACAGTTTAAGTAAATTTTAACACAAAACAATCAGGGCTGCAGTTTCAATAATAGATTGCAAAAAAGATATTTCAAAGTGGAAGCCATACAGCTTCAATAAAGTTTT